CTATGGCAGCTACAAGCATTGTAGGACAAGTAAGCGTTATTGCAACTGACGATGACGATGATGATGTTTCTGTGAAGCCTCGTTCATTGTGGTCACTCAGATACAGGTTGCCAAGTATATAGTAGTTACTAGAAGTTACCACATTGGAACGGCTGAAATGTCCCACACTCTTCGCGCCCTCACGCTTGGCGTTTGCTCTTTGTTATCGACCAAATATGGTAATCGAACGAGGACTGGTCAAACCGAAGTAATCTGAATCCCGTATTATCACGGCGCGTGATTCAACGCCACGAATGTTCTATGTCGTATAGGTGTAGGAAAGTCGTTCACTTCTAGCTGGCCTTCTATTGAAGCAAATTATACATCAAGGTCGATTCTCACGCCACAGTAGATCGATCAGTGTAAACACCGAAACTCAAAGACATGTGGTGCCCTTCAGAAAGACTAATTTGTCATGCGTAAAGGTGCGTCAAAAACACTGGCGCCAGGATAGGAGGATTGGTCATTACAGGTTAAAACTTGCTAGCTTACTGCTCGACAAGTTTGCCTTTCAACTTCTCCTGTCTAGGCTTGTGCAGCCTGGCGCTGTCTAAGCCCTCGTGCTTCCTTCGGATGGCATGGCAGCTAGGAGCCGAAAGGGTGTTACAGCTGAACGATTTCGATTGCACAGAAGGATGGATGCTATCCCTAATAAGCCTGTACTAAGTCACCAGAAAGGCATAAAGCGCGAGAGCGAGACACACTAGAAAAAGGTGACAACTGTCTATGGTACCTTATCAAGACCAGAAAAAAACGTGAATTGCACCGAAGGTAACCAAGATGAATCAATCAGTTCATACCAGAAGTGCACACACATTTTCTGTCAAATTAAAGATACAATCGACGAAAAAACATGACTCAGTAGCTTCGCGTTAGGTGAACCAGTACCACCCAGAGAACAGCCAGAGTGACAGAGAGTCGTTCTTAACATGAATTAGTTTGTGTGTTTGTGGGAATGATCGTTTCTGTGATGAAGAAAATACAAGGTGTAAATTTTGACGACGGATAGAAAATAATGTTCAGAGTTTGATGGTTTATTTTCTGAGCCAATGAATGACAACCTGCAGTGCTTCTATAGTTTTTTTTATACATATTCAGTCACCTGTCTACCTGTGGAGAAAACAGAAGCGAAAAAAGAGGTTTTGTTCGTCACTGGTGGTTAGTTACGAAGTTTTCGATGGCAGATCAAAGGGGCTTTCCCCTGAGGGATCATTTATGACATCATTATTGTAAGTTGAGGGTTTGATCCTTCCAGGTTTAGCCGCTTGAAAGTAAACGGAGTCTGTCACTCTCAAACCGCATCTCGGCGCAATATGAAGTGTATCCAGAGTCCGTTTCTGCAGACGTGGCCAAGTCCTCGCAATTTAAGCGCATTACGTTGTAAAACTGGATGCGATTGACGACGGTGTTCACATGTATTTTATCGTTCCCTTAGTGATCTTCCGAAATCCTTAGGCGGTAAGCAGCCGAAATTTCCAATGAACGAAAGCTCTCGAAATCCTCTGCTAACCGGCAGAAAAAATACCTAGGAAAGACACCAGGCTAACGGACTCGACGAGCACTGATCAAACTCGGCCGTGGTGACAGAGTCGACGAGTCTGTTTGATGGAGCTACGTACATGGTTTAATCGTTTGATCGAGAAAAAGCGGCAGTATGCGAAGCTGATGGTTCGTATGGCTCGGTGGAATCAATGATCTCCCTTTTACACAACCACGATAACTGGTTGCACATAGAATTGCTGAAATGCCACCTGTAGGTTAGTTTGTGATAAGTGGCCAGTGATCTTGAATGCCCGCACCGTTCGGGTTTTCTTCGAGCCAAAACACAACTGAACCAGACGGATATGTTCCCTTCCTGGATGTCTCTCCCCTCTTTGGGGAAGGAATGCTTACATACGTACATATATGTACACACTGAATCATTCTAACTGAACTACGGAACTCGGTAACTGAGTGCAAGACCTAACTATTTAGGGAGGGTACGAACCCAAGCGGGATTTATACATCGTTCAGCTGTAGTAACCTTTCGGTGCCCGACTGCCATGCCACTAGAAGGAAGCACGAGGGATGGGATACTGCCAGGTTGCCCAAGCCTAAACAGGGGAAGTCAAGAAGCAGAGGTTGGGTTCGAACCACGGAACTTCCGGTAAGTAAATCCGTGTACTAAGCACTGAGCCATCTCGGAGCCAACCAGATGAACACACGAGAACACCCCTCGATAGAGATCTAATCGGATCTTATGCTTTTGAAATGGTTCCGAAGGAAGGCATGCATATGAAAATCAACGCAATCGTCATACAGGAATGGACCTACAATGATGGGGTGATGACAACCGGTGTTCACTCGTGCGGGACCTAGCTGGAATAGTTTTCAATGACGACAAAACATGACTATACCAAACGAGTTCCGATGCGACTCGAGCTAAAGTGTAGTGATATTCATTATGCTGGAAAACCATACGCGGTGCGATTCCGCGAAGCCACAGCACTCGACGGAACGGATTGGAATCTTGTTGTTTTCAAGATGTATATGTTTTGCGTCAGTATAGCTGACGTCCTACCGATAAGATGAAATTAATCCAAAGTGATTCGGTCAATACCTGTAGCACATGGGAAGGGAAATATTTCCATGATCGATGAAGGAGTTCAGTATGTACCATTACTTCCAGGATGACAAGGATCAGTTTTTGATCGCTGTTCGGAACCTCTTCGCTTCCCCACCGCGTCGTTTGTCTAAAAAATTTAGACTCCTATGAACACAGATAGCCCTCCTACCAGTTTACTGGGTTTAAAGGTGGCACTTAGGAGTTCAACAAACACACTTATCTGCATATATCAATTCGCTTTTCACGGGAGACTAAACGGAATCTCTCGTTTATAATACTCCTCCACCAACGACTTGGGAAGGTTACCGCCTAATTTCTTGCTTTGTCGATGATCAATCCAGTCCACAATGTGAATGAATGTCTCTCACCACCGCGGTGGGTAGAAACCGTTACAAGAAATTCGGGACTATCCGCTCCGCACCATGTTCATTGATCAGCACGAACCACAGTTAGCGGCAGGTCGCTTGTCGATAACTAGATTCAGCCCCTGCATAAACCGTACCGCTGAACGCACACCAGCGTTTCATCGTGAGTAGCTCCGGTGTACCTCGGTATATAACACATGAGGGAGGTGTTAGGTGGGAATACGACTGGTTTGCATTACCTCCAGAGAACCATAATCATCAAGTTCGATTACAAAGTGACTCGCTCAATGATGATGCCTCGACGATTGGTGACAGAACTTCCACAAGTGCATTGCCGAGCTCAGCGAACAGATCAACAGCCACCTGGTTTACAACGGCCGAGATGGCTCAAGTGGTTAGAGTGCGAATTTACTGACCGGAAAGTCCGTGTTTCAAACCCGACCTCTTCCTCTCGACTTCCCCTGTCTAGGCTTGGGCAACCTGGCAGCATCCCAGCCCTCGTGCTTCCTTCGGGTAGCATGGCAGCTAGGCACCGGAAGGTGTTACAGCTGAGAGATTTTTTTAAGCAACCCACTTAGTGGAGCCAAAGTTTGACACTGATTTTACTCGCTTGCTAAGTGCAGATGAGGCGAAACGTGCACAGTGAAAAACAACTAAAAATACGTACTTTTCTAGGAAAGTCCCTCCGCAGTGCTGCACTGATTTTCGACAAAGAGTAGTATGAGAAGACCAGTTAGTATGTCTACCCACCAATCGATCGATCAATGATTCAGGCGGCACTAATGAAGTGATCACTTCACCGACGTCGCCTTGTCTACAATTTATTTCGATGAGCGGTGAACCAATGGGTATTTTGATGGCATGCTTTTTTGTTTTATCTGCCCTATTTGTTCTGCACCATCATTATAGATAAAATAAATAAATCATTCAGCTGTAGCACTCTTTCGGTGCCTAGCTGCCATGCCACACGAAGACGGCACGAGGGTTGGGATACTGCCAGGCAAACTAAAAACGAACAGCATATCGTACAATGTGGTCAGATGGACGCGGAATCTGAGTCAGGTGAAAGTTTGGTCACGTAAGTGATTTTGAACACAGAACTGATAATCAGACCGCACCGATGGTCTTCAAAAAGACGGACAGCCACCTTCTGAGACGCACTATTCAGTGGGGGCGAGATGGCGAAAGTGGTTAGAGCGCGAATTTATTGACTGGAGGGTCTGTGATTCGAACCCGACCTCTACCTCTCGACTTCCCCTGTCTAGGCTTGAGCAACCTGGCAGAATCCCAGCCCTCGTGCTTCCTTCGGGTAGCACGGCAGCTAGGCACCGAACAGGTGTTACAGCTGAACGATTTTTTTTACTATTCACTGTGACAGTGTTTTTTATGAACGGTTCGGGTACGAGGACTCCCAGCGCATGGGGGAATCGTAGATATCCCTAGGCTATCCAGGTTGGATCCCGGGTCGATAATCATGCATCCACAACACATCACATTCGTGTCTTCGAGTTGGCTGTTTCTTGTTCAACAGCTATTCGAAGGTACACATTTACCGAGTACCTATCTCTCACAGCTAAATGTACCCATTGCACCTGCTTATTGTTTGGGCACGACGCGCCCAGAGAAGCCCATCCAGAGATGGAAAACCCGCTCAGAAAGTCTACATCGCCCTCCGCCTCTCCCGCTTTCTCGTTTCGCAGAGGATTATCGATGGATTTTCAGCACCTTATGAGGTAGTGCATTACAAATATAACCTCAACAAGTGTTTTACTTGAGTGACGCGCAATGCCAGAATGCACGAATTTCATGTCCTCTAACATGGATCGGGGAAAACGGACCAAATTAGGAATGACGTCGAACGAAAGAAGATTTTCGGGTTGAATCTCCCGAAAGCCCAAACATCAACCGACCGACCATCAGCCAGCCAATAATGGATGAGAGTTCAAAGACAGACCGAACAAAAGCGACAATGGACGGGAGAAGGAACTCACCTGCAGTGTCGTAGAAGTAGTAGTAAATCAATATAAAGCCCGACGCGAGAACAAGTAACAGCCCCAAAGCGACGTACATGGCCCATTTGGATTGCTTGAAAGCAGCGGTTCGAGCTTGCATTTCTCTGAGCCTGACAAAACGAAGCACAAAAATGAAGCCGTGTAGAATGCAGGTTTGTGCGGGTCTCACGTCTAGTTATCTCTGAGAGTTAATCGAGACAGATTCCAAAAACGGAAGGGTAGCAAACAGACGCTGAAAAGGAGATCTTTACGGTGCATCACCCATTCAGACTACTTAGCTCTACAAAGTGCACAAGGCCACCCCAGGATCGATCGAAATTGTTATCGTTCTCTCAAGATATCTTCTCCTGAGAGGCATAAACCCAACAAGTTGCAATGAGATTCATCATCATTGCCAGCTGTAATAACCGCGTACTCGTCGTACAGTGGTTGTAGCTGCCACAGTTTCGTTCATTGGTGATTTGGGGAGGTGGGGTAGATAGCTGCGCATTGGAGGCGGGAGCTAATAAATTAGTGCGTGAATACGGCACTGTCAATGGACTGTCAGGTGGGGGGATTGGGAAGGGAGCTATGCATTGAAGGCAATAGCTTGGCTGCACGAGTGCCATTGATGGCGCGACTGGGCAATGTCTGACAATGTCTGTAACAATTGACGTGGACCGTCTCGGGGTCCCCATCCAGGAAGACGGCAATGACCAGCGCGGTTGAGTTTGCTGGAAGAGGACCATGATGTAGTAATGAAGACGTGAGGAATAAACCAGTGAAATTCTTAAGCATAACCTCCGAACACAAACCACCTCTCACTTTTCACTTCAACCGGATGACCTAGGTGATCTGAACTTCCAGTAAAGCTTAAATCACTGTCACTCAGGCACAAATGGATTGAGGAGAGAAGATGAAAGCGCGCAACGCATCCAAGTTTCAATAAAGCCATAAACAGCGAATTGGAAGGATTAAGCTGGTTTGGAGACCTCATCATCATCATCATCATATAGAATATCTGGTTAGAATGGAAAGTGAGAATGGTGTATCGGAACCTATTGTTTCAGGACCTGTATATCAACTCAGTTATTAAATTCAGTCTAGCAGTTCAGAATCATGTGCCAAAGATACATCGGTTCCAACTACTACTACAGTTTCGATCACCGGAAAGTGAGAAAGCAAGCAAGGGAAGCACTGAGGGACATGGCATGTTCATTTAGTTGGGGAACTGGACAGCTAGGCATTGAAGGCGATTGCTGTGATGAACGAGCGCTACCAGCTCCCTCCCGAATATGAGGGAGCAAATCAAAATTCAATGACTACGGGCTGCATACATGTGGACAGATAGTCTCGCTTCCCACATGACTCTACAGTGTTTTGGAGAGTAGTCAAATTGATGGCCAGCATATATTGGAAAACAAACAGAGAGAGGCACGTGACCGACTGACCTACCACAGTCATACACATTGGGCGTATTCATCAATACTTGACTAAATGAACACTTTTCCTAAGCGGCCCACTTTGAGTTGACCGGTTCTTCTCTTGGAAGTATTCATCACTCGAAGTTGTGGAGAGTCCTACGTATTTTGGATGTGGTATTAGTTCCGATTGCAGTGTGACAATCCACGAATCTGCAAGGCTCAGATCACGTGTACTAGATTGAGACACCTATGGCGTCAAACCGGTATATCCCTGCATGTCGAGGGACGTGTGTATCGGGCTACAGTGCGGACTGTTTTGTTATACGGCTGTGAATCTTGGCCTGTTTGAGCAGCGGAACTGAGACGTCTTCAGGTGTTCGACAATCGTTGTCTCAGAACCATAGTTCGTATGGGTTGGTGTCGGCGAATCCGTAAAGAGGCAGTTAGAAAGCGCGTTTTC